AGGTCTGCCACGCCATGTGGTCACCTCCGGGGCAGGCGGGGATCGAACTCATACTGAAGTGGCTTTAGCTTCTTAGTGCTATGCTTTAACCTGCTGCGCCACCAGGGAGGGTCCCAAACTTAGATATATTTTAAACTCAAAGGCTCCAAGGCTTGTAAGAAGTTGCACATTGTATAGCACAAAAAATTTCCAAAGGAATCTGTATCCTCCGAGTTTCTGCACACAAGAGCTAACCTTGGAGAGAGGGGTATGCCTGTGTGTGTGTGTGTGCACGCATATGTGTTGCTAAGTACCTGTAGGTACATTAATGGCTGTGTGCTTATATAAGTGTGTGAGACCGCATGTGTTTATATGCGGGGTCCAGTGTCTATACATAGGCATGTGTTTGTATTTCTGTCTGTACATGTCGGTGTACGTGCATGTGTGAGTCTAATGTATGTGTGTGGGTGTATGTATGAGCTCAAGACCCTGGAGCCTATTTCTGAGTAACTTTGAGACACTTTGTCTCTCTGAGCCTCTTTTTTCATCAGATGCAAGTGTTCGTGCCATTGCACAGATGGATAATGAGGCGATAGATACACTGACTAGTAACATCAGGTATGCCAGCACCCTGCTCATGGGAAGGAAGCTTAGTGACACACCAGGCCCTGTGTGGCCCCTGTAGTCTCTGATCCATCCTCTGGCCGCTCCCTTAACCACATGCTTGCTGCAGGAAGCAGTGGCAGGTGAGGACAGGTGAGAGGCAGCCACGCCACCATGCAGAGAATTGAGCAGATAGGTCAAGCACCTTCCAGCCCCACTCTAATGAGATACACTGGCCCGGCGACTGTGTCCAGATGTGCCACCCCATGCTCCTGGACACCTTGGCTCTGCCAAGGGACGGGGCAGGGCTTCAGGACAGCACATGCACTCCGATCCCACCCACAATGCAGACCTGATTCTCTTCCCAGAAACCCTACATTTGCAAGATCCCAGGCTGCACCAAGCGATACACAGACCCCAGCTCTCTCCGGAAGCATGTGAAAACGGTACATGGCCCAGATGCACATGTCACCAAGAAGCAGCGAAATGACGTGCACCTCCGTGCCCCCCTGCTCAAGGAGAACGGGGACAATGAGGCCAGTACAGAGCCTGGTGGCCGGGGCTCTGAGGAAAGCGCTGAAGCCAGCAGCACTAGTCAGGCCGTGGAAGACTGTCTTCATGTCAAAGCCATCAAGACCGAGAGCTCCGGGGTAAGCAGAGTTGGGCAGTGGAGGCCCCAATCCCTGTGCCCCCACCCCCTGCAGGTTCAGTGGGTGTGAGGGCAATTCCACAGCCCACCCAGGAACCCAGAACCTCGGCTGCACCTGTAGACTCTGCCACAGGCGCCCCACCCCTAAGCACACAAAGACGTCACTTCTCTTTTTCCAACTTCACCTTTCTCCTTCACTGTGGGCCTCACACAGAGCCTGTCTGTTGCCAGGCTGGGCCCATTCTCCTGGGTCAGACCATGGGCAGTGGAGTTGCCTGTCCTCCAAAGTGGTCATTTTCAAGGGGATGGGTGATTCCTGGTGTCTGCTTTTCCAACCAGTACCAGAGAGCCTCCGCTGGTACCTTGCCTCTGTTCTGTCTGCCACCTGCCTTCTGGCCTCCACGCCTCTTGTTCTAACCACCTGTTCTTTGTCTCCACCTCTTTCTCCCGACTGTACCTCCCCTAAGGATAGACGGTACTGAGGTGAGCAGAGAAGCCTGTGCGGTTGTGGGTGTGGGTGGGCTGGCATGAGTGAGGGTGTGCTGGGGTGCTTGTCTGGGGGCTCTGGGCAGAGACTGGAAGTGGGTTTGGACAGGTAGGCACCATCAGATAGCAACAAGAGTCAACCTGGCAGATGTGTGCAAACTGCAAGCACCAAGCCTGCAGAGAAGAGGTGTGAGTTCAGGCTGCAGAGCTGGGGAAGGTCTCGAGTGCCCAAGTAAGATATGTGGATGCTGCTGTGGATAGGAGGGAGCACTGCCACTTCCTCAGGAAAAGTCTGCAATGAGATGGTATTTAGCCGAGGACTAAGCCCAGAACTGCTGCCGTGGAGGTGAATCCCACTTGGGCTCAGGTCCCAGGCCTCAGTGGTGGGATCCTAGGTCTGCAGAGGGCTGAACAGGGGTGGCATTTCAGCAAACACTGCAGACAGAGGCCCACTCTCGCTGGTTATCCTTTCCCCTTTTAACAAGCTGCTGCTGGCAGTCTGAGAAGCCACCAACTCAGCAGGCAGTGGTTACTGGCATCATCATGCACCCAGGGTTGTTGCTGGAAAGGTTTAAGTAACTTCCATCTCGCTGACTGCAGAGCTCTACCATGTAGCTACGGCAGCCTCTGTGGGTCACAGCTTCAGGTGTCCACACACAGAAAGTTCAACAGGCAAAGCCCCAGCCAGACCTTGTTGGGAGATCTTAGGGCACATGGGAGTGTGGGGGTGACAGTTACTGGGTGACTTGTGCATGCTGATAGCTGTCCATCCACCCATCCTGCAGCCCTGTTCCAGGGACATCTTCTAGCTGGGGGAACCGAGGTCAGAGAAGTGAGGCTCTCTTCCCTGACCCTGGATGTGCAAGGGCGTGGTGAAGGCGTGTGTGCAAGTGTGGGTGAAGGGTCAGGTGGGTTCTTGTACCCTCTGAGTCCTCTCCTTTTCCCTACTCCGCCTGCAGCTCTGTCAGTCCAGCCCCGGGGCCCAGTCGTCCTGCAGCAGTGAGCCCTCTCCTCTGGGCAGTGCCCCCAACAATGACAGTGGCGTGGAGATGCCGGGGACGGGCCCCGGGAGCCTGGGAGACCTGACAGCTCTGGATGACCCGCCCACGGGGCCTGACGCCTCAGCCCTGGCCACCCCCTCCGCTGGGGGCCTGCAGCTGCGCAAACACATGACTGCCATGCACCGGTTTGAGCAGCTCAAGAAGGAGAAGCTCAAGTCACTCAAGGATTCCTGCTCGTGGGCCGGGCCCGCTCCACATACCCGGATCACCAAGCTGCCTCCCCTCCCGGGAAGTGGTGAGTGCAGGTCCAGGGGGTGTGAGCAGGGGCTAGAGAGAGCCTGGGGTGGCAGCCACAGTTCACCCCCACTCAGTGCCCTATACCTGCTTCCTGAACACCCACATTAGGATAGCCTTTACCAGTCTCTATCCAGATAAAGACCCTGGAGCTCAGAGTGGTAAACGTGCCTCACTCAGATGAACAACAGAACTGAGACTTAACCCGGACCCAGCTGGTTTCAAAGCCCATGTTCTTTCAACAACACCATGTGGCATCCCAGTCGCCTCTGGAAAACAGAACCTGCTCACATCCTCTCCCTCCCTGTGAGCCATGCGGTCATTAATCAGCCACCTGCTGTGTGCACTGTGACAAAGGTCTAGGCAGGAGAGCAATATATTCCCAGTAAAGGCACCAGGTGTACACTTGACTGCAGAATAGGCCAAGTGGCACCATAGCCCATGCCCACAGTAATGGTCTGCAAAGGAGGAGCGAGCACATCAACTGGGGAGAAGTAGGGAGGACTTCATGGAGGAAGCAGACCTGAGCTCAACCTCAAGAAGTTTTTGGGATGGAGGCACCCTTAGCAACACTCTCTAAGTGCCACCTCCATGCTAGGTCTTATGCTGAACATACATACGTGGGTGCATACCTGGGCACTCAACCCCAAGATGCACCCCAGGGACAGACATCCTGTGTAGCAGACAGTGAAATGTGCCTCCCAGCTTGCCCTGGAAGGGAGGCTGTGTTGGCCCAGCTGTGGAGGGAACTGCTAGCAAATGGCCTTCAACTCTCTGCTACAGAGATCTCCTGGGTTGCAAACAGCAGCTTCACCCAAGGTCACCCCTTTGGGCTTGCCCACAACCATTGGCTACAAGAATCTAAGAGGCCATCTCAGCCCAACTTAGACAAGCACTAAACGAAGGACCATTTGAGGCTGAACATGTGAGGCCTGTGGAGGCATTGTTAGGCTGCCTCCTGGCTCACTTTGCCCTGGTCACTTTGTTACCACCCCCTCACCCACCAAGGGTGGAGGGGTTCTGAGATCACCTTGTGGATCCCAGTCTACTCCCAATGATCAGCTTGCTCAGTAAACTCCATCCCAAGGGAGCCAGAGCCCTCTCATTAACACAGTCTTGTGGAAAGTCACCTTTAAAAAAAAAAAAAAAAGATTTATTTATTATGTATGCATACAGAACTGAGGTACAGGCCAGAGGTGTGGTGGGTGAGAGGCTTCACCAGAGACAGATTGGGGAGCAGAACAGGCAAAATCGACAAAGTACACTGCTGAGGGGAGCAGCAGGCGGGTCAGGAGAGGTCTGCTGCGCCATGTGGGTCAGCTCCCAGGCAGGGAATTGAACTCATGCTGCAGTGGCTTCTGAGAGCTTCATAATGCAGTGCTTTAACCCGCTGCGCCAGCAGGGAGGGCCCCGAAAGTCACCTTTTGTCTACAGCTGGAGAAACAGAACCAGACACCACAGTAGTGCATCACAGTAGTGCAGCTAAAATTGCCATCAGGCCTCCTGACTTCCACTTGCCCACCCGTAGCAGCAAGCGGGGTGATGAGTTCACTCCTCCCCTCCTTCCATTCAGAAATCATTGGTCGGGTGCCCAGTGTGTGCCAGGCCCTGTGGTAGAACCAGCATGGTCAAAGCCGGGGGAGCACCCGCAGATGCCCACGAGCTGACCCCTCTCCCTTTCCGCAGGCTCCATCCTGGAAAACTTCAGCAGCGGCGGGGGTGGCGGGCCTGCGGGCCTGCTGCCCAACCCGCGGCTGGCTGAGCTATCCACCAGCGAAGTCACCCTGCTGAGCCACCTGCAAGAGCGCCGGGACAGCTCCACCAGCACAGTCAGCTCAGCCTACACCGTGAGCCGCCGCTCCTCCGGCATCTCTCCGTATTTCTCCAGTCGCCGCTCCAGCGAGGCGTCGCCCCTGGGCGCCGGCCGCCCCCACCAGGCCAGTTCCGCAGACTCCTACGACCCCATCTCCACCGACGCCTCGCGGCGCTCCAGCGAGGCCAGCCAGTGCAGTGGAGGCGGCTCGGGGCTGCTGCACCTGACACCTGCCCAGCAGTACAGCCTGAGGGCCAGGTACGCGGCTGCCACAGGCGGCCCACCGCCCACTCCTCTGCCTGGTCTGGAGCGCATGAGCCTGCGGACCCGGCTGGCGCTGCTGGACGGCCCGGAGCGCGCGCTGCCACCCACCTGTCCGCACCCCCTGGGGCCCCGGCGCGGCAGCGATGGGCCGCCCTACGGGGCCATGGGCCCCGCTCCTGCCTTCCCCCACGAGGCGCCTGGCAGTGGGGCTCGGCGGGCCAGCGACCCAGTGAGGCGGCCTGACACCCTGGCGCCCCCGCGGATGCAGCGCTTCCATAGCGCCCACAACGTGAACCCTGCCCCACTTCTGTCCTGCGTGGAGAGGCGAGGCCTTCACCTGCAAAGCCATAGGAGCGCAGACGGCAGCCTGACCCGCAGTGCCTACTCCCCTCGGCCGCCCAGCATCAGCGAGAATGTGGCCATGGAGGCCATGGCCGCAGGGGCAGACAGCACCGGGCCCGATGTTGGCCTGGGGCTGCCAGACGACGACCTCGTGCTGCCGGACGACGTGGTGCAGTACATCAAGGCACATGCCAGCGGTGCTCTGGATGACAGCACCCCACAGGTGTATCCCCCGGAAAGCACCTGCTTCTCTGATAACCCCAAACTGCCCAACTCTGGGCTACAGAGCCAGCGCAGGATGGTGGCCGCCGACTCTAATGTGGGTCCCTCTGCCCCAGTGCTGGGAGGCTGCCAGTTAGGCTACGGGGCTCCCTCCAACCTGAACAAAAGCAGCATGCCTGTGCAGTGGAACGAGGTGAGCTCCGGCACCATGGACACCCTGGCCAGCCAGGTGAAGCCTCCAGCCTTTCCACAGGGTAACCTGGCAGTGGTGCAGCAGAAGCCGGCCTTCGGCCAGTACTCAGGCTATAGTCCCCAAGGCCTGCAGCCAAGCCCTGGAGGCCTGGACAGTACACAGCCACACCTTCAGCCCTGCAGCGGAGGGCCCTCTGTGCCCAGGGGAAACTATATGCAGCAGCTTCGGCAGCCAGGGGCAGGTGGCCAATGTGCCAGCCTGCCCGCCACCGGGAGCCCCCACAGCAGCTATGGCCAGGTCCATCCCCAGCTGAGCCCCAGCACCATGGGTGGAGCCTTGAACCAGTTCTCCCCATCTTGCAGCAACATAGCAGCCAAGCCAGGGCACCTGGGGCTCCCTCAGCAAATGGAAATTGCCCCTGGCCCCACCATGATACGTAGTGGCCACAGGGAACTTGGGGTCCCCAATTCCACCCTGGCTGGGATGCCCCCACCTCAACCAGCCCCTAGCTACCCACAGCAGAGCCACCATCTGGCCACCCCCATGAGCCAGGAGGCCTACTGCCAGGGCCCCAGCCTTCTGCCTTCCCACCAGCCTGGCTTCACGGAGCCCCAGCAGAGCACAATGGGACACGCTGGGTCAAACTTTGGCTTAGTGCAACCCCGGCCACCCCCTGAGCCCAACACATCTAGCCGACACCGTGGGGTGCGTGCCGGGCAGCAGTTGGCTTATGCCAGGGCCACTGGCCATGCCGTGGCTGCTGTGCAAGCCCACCAGGAGATGGCAGAATCCGTACCCAAGGGAGCAATGGGCACAATGGTGTCTCTGCCTCCTCAGCCGCCCCCACATGACACGAACGGGACCCAGGATCACAGCATGCTCTACTACTACGGCCAGATCCACATGTATGAGCAGAATGGAGGCCTGGAGAACCACGTCGGCTGCCAGGTCATGCAGCCCCAGCCGCCACAGCCACAGGCCTGCCCGGACAGCCTCCAGCCCCAACCTCTGCCCTCGCCAGGGGTGAACCAGGTGTCCAGCACAGTAGACTCCCAGCTACTGGAGACTCCCCAGATTGATTTTGATGCCATCATGGATGACGGTGATCACTCCAGCCTCCTCTCAGGAGCCCTGAGCCCCAGCCTCCTCCACAGCCTCTCCCAGAGCTCCTCCCGTCTCACCACCCCCCGGAACTCTCTGACTCTGCCCACTATCCCCACGGGCATCAGCAACATGGCCGTTGGGGACATGAGCTCCATGCTCACCAGCCTGGCCGAGGAGAGCAAGTTCTTGAACATGATGACCTAAGGCCCCAGCCCCTGCCACTCACCGGACCAGCGGGACGTCGAGCATGGGGGTTTCATCCGTTTCCTCTTTTTCCAAAAAAAGTGTTAAATGGGTCTGAGGGGATTTTGCCAATGTCTGGTTCAGACCACAGATGCTTTAAGGATAGGTTTATGTGCCTCCTGTCTGTTCTTCTTTTGGATTATTTTTTGGGACGCTGAAAAAAGTCTCAATGGCAAAGGCAAGGCAGAAACGAAAAACTCGTTTACACAGTGTTTCCCAGCCTTTGGTGTTTATAGGACCACTCTGTTCTGGCTTCTTTGCCTCTGTCATTTGGCTAATGAGGGATTACACTGGCCGAGAGCTTTCCAAGTACACAAGGAAATAGGGTAGAGAAACCACACTTGGGCTAGAATCTGAAAGCCATACAGGATATTCTAATCTAGGAAAATACGTTTCTCATGCCGTTACCTACAAGGTAAAGAAATTTCTGTCCACCAGAAATCTATGAAGCTTAGTTGTTGAGGTCTCCAACCCTCCTTGCCATGGAAGAATAAAAAAAGATTTTTACCTGGATGATTTGGAAGCACGTCCTGATTCCAGGTTTGGTAGAGCTGGCATCTCTACCCTTCAAAGCCAAGTTTGCAACTGGCAGACTGTTCAAGTGTATATGAATGAAGAAAGTATGAAAGAATCGCCAGAAAGAGGAAAGACAAAATTGTAATGCTTGGGACAAGCCCAGAAGCTGCCCTGGCCTCTCCAGACCGTGTTTACAGTGTTTATGCATGTAGAATGTAGCCCTTCCCGAAAGAACACTTATTTCTAAATACCTCGGAGCTGCCAGAGCTGCTTTGGGTTAGGGATGAACCAAGGTGAGCCGAACATAGGATACAGGCTTGAGAAAGCGAGAGTTTGTACCCAGGGCCTGGGCTCAGGCTGCCCTGGAGGGCTCCCTGTAGGAAGAGGAAGTCGCATGTTTACCCAGTCCTGTTTCTCCAATGCACTATCAGCCCACTTTACCACGGGAACCCCAGGACTGGATGGCAGGCTCTGCCCAGATTTCTCTAGGCCATGCTGCCCCTCACCACAGTCCAGTGGTTTTGCCAAGCTATAACATGCAATTGGATGTTTCTGGATCCCCTTCCCTCTGTCCTCCTTCCTTGCTCATTTCACAGAGAACAATACATGCATGGTGTTTGGACGGGAGTGGGAGGGTGAAGAGTTGATAGTTGGAACTCTGAGGGAGCATCACTGAATTTTCCCACTCCATGTGACCAAGGCCCACCCAGAGATGGAATTTCAAGCTGGCATCAGAAGACCCCTTCGGGACCTGTTACAGCCTCCCCACCACACAAACACACACACACACACACACACGTGCACGTCTACACACCCCACAGTGAATTTGAGGCAACCCTGCCCGAACCAGCTGCACCAATGTGAGCTGGATTCTGTCACCCTGGCTTCAACTAGGACAGGTCCCTGTGCACCCAGGACATCGATTGCTTTGGTAGAGTCCTAAGAGAAAGCCAACTCTGGGTAACAACCCTGGGACTCCTGGGTCTGGGCTCCGGGGTGGTGCTTATTCACCCCCTGAGCTGGGATTTCCTAGCCATTCCCAACCTGTATATAATCTGTACAGAAGACATCATCCCGGAAAATACTGTAGGTGAATCATCCAGTCAAATTTATATCTTCAAAACATTTTTAGCTTTTTCTACATGCTATGAGTTGAGATGACATGCTCAACTTGTAAATAAGTCTTTTTGTACATTAAAAAAGTAATTTTTTCATAATTTATTTTGTCTATCTGCTTCTTCCTTGACAGTAGTTAATGAGAACCCAGGCTATAAATTTGGTGCATTTGAAAGGAAAGTAGGCAGTATTTTTTCTCAACAGTGTCAAAATTGACTATCCCGCCTTTGCTAAGAAATGTTTAATGCTGGGGCATTTACTGGCTGTTTGTTTGTTGTCACTGAGGTGGGGGGCAGGGTTTGACATTTTACAGCCAGCAGCTGGCTGTTGATCCAGTGTGCTGCTCTGGACGTCTTCCCTGGCTTCCTGAGAACTGCATATGAGGCCAGGTGTACTCCCAAGCTCTCCACAGGGCAGGCTCCTTTCTGACGCTGTGCTAATGAGTGTATTTGAATTGGGGTGTGAGGTGAGGGGACAGACAGAAACCTGTGCTCTGGTGCAAGCTGAAGGGGGAAATGGGTAGGCCTAGGGTACCCTGGGCAGCTGATCCGGAGTGAAGGAGCTGTGGGAACAGCCACGCACAGGAGTCTGGCCGGAGCGGGTGGCCCTGAGCTCACCGGAGGGCCCAACTCAGTCACTGGCAACCATGACAGCCACCACAGACCACAGTGAGCTGGGCGAGACGTTTGCCAGTGATTCGACATGACACCTAAATGAATTCTGGAATGAGGACCTGAGAGCAAGCGGGGGAGGGCTCAGGAAGGTTGAGGGGGAGACATGAGGGCACCTTCCTTGAGCCAGGTATACTGAATCTGCGAACTCCCAGTTCAGGCCCTCCTCTCTGTGCGTAAGCCGAACACACAGCTCAGAAGGTTTGGGAGTCAAAATCACATGGAAGTCACTCAGCTGAGAAACAGTCTGTGGGACGTGGCCAAGTGGACTGAAGAAGGACCCTTTGATAAACAAGTGTAGGACCCCACACACAAACCCCCATGGAAGGAAATGGAAGTATGGTGTGTTTTCCTTCTGCAGGCTGTCCCTGAATCTTCCGTAACTTCTCTGCCCCCAGTTTCGTGGTAGAAACACAGCCAGAGTCACTGCCAACCTCATTCCTCCCTTGGGGACTCTCTCTCAGTTTATTGCCCACTTGGAGGGAGGAACTGATCGTTTCTGCTTTTTTCAAAACCCACTTCACAGAGCCTCTGCTTCTCCACATGTTCTTTCTCTGGAAGCAGTTCTGCCTGCTGTGGGGGCAAGAGGAAGCAAAGTTGCTCCGCACTGCCTGAGACCAGGGGGGCTACATGATGAAGAAGCCCGTCTATGTCAGTTCACGGTGGACATAGTTGTGCTGCAGAACCGTCCCCTGGAACCCCCATCCCATGTAACAGCAAGTGGTTTAGCTCATGAACCTGGGTCAGCTCGGTTTGACTGATGGAGGCTGATCTGGGCAGGGGCGTCAGATGAGGCAATTAGTCTAGATGCTTGACGAGAGGCCTGGATGAGCTCACAGGGCTCATCGTCCTCCCGGATGGGGATGCTATCTTTTTGCCTTCCTCTAGCAAGGACTGGAGCACAAGAAGGCAAGCAGGAAAATGCAGGCTTATGCTCAGAACCAGTACACCACCAGTTTCACCTCATGCTTTAAATTTAACAAGTCCCATGGCCAAATCCATCATCTGTGGCATCAGGAAGTACAGTCCTCCAAGGAAGTGAGAGGGAGAGCAAGTATCTTTCAACAATAATACAAAAAGGCAATGATTCATGTCCCCCCAGATGTAGAATATACATACCAATACCCCAGAAGTCTACCCAATCAATCATCAGGCTCAAAGTCTGAGAGATTATGTTCTATATCCATCCTGGACATGGTGGCTCTTCTTAGGGACTGAAAAGGGAGTTCACTCCTGTTTCACCTCCACCTCCCAAGCACAGACACACCCAGTACTCTGAAGGAACAGGGCTGGTATCACAGCAGCCGCCACTCTGGCTCAGTCACTGGTGTACACCTGGGAAAATGTTGCAGGTGGTTCTGCTCTGGCTAGGAGGCCTCGTGAGTGACAGCAGCCCCCAGACCACTATGCTCTGCCACTCTAGATTCCACCTTCTTCCTTTTCCCTCTTCCTTATGGTTTGTGAAAAGAACATTGGAGTAGCTCTTAACCTCTTCCTGTTTGAAGAGAGTCGATAGCCGGAAGTCCCCATGCTTCACGCTTACAGTGCCATTACCCATTCAGCTCTCCCAAACATCATAGTTTTCTGCATAGTTGATTCCAGGCCACCCTGCACTAAAACCCAAACTCATGATTCCTTGACAGCATGCCTCTGTTTCAGCTCTGGGACCCTACACCAGGCTAAGTGGGGCCATATCCTCAAAGTTTATGGACACGCTGTTATCACTAGAACTTACTGCTTTCAAGGACCATCAGACAAAGGGCATGAAAACGAAGGTCATATCCTAGATTTTGTCTTCACTAAGGGATGGGAGATGAGAAAGAATTTTATCTTCTAAATTCTGTTTTACACTGATGACTGGTTCATTTCTGAATTCCTCTTTTACTTGTAGCCATGTTATCATTTATAGCTCCCAGAAGCTCGTGTTTACAATAGCCAGCCCAGAAACCAGCCAGCCAATTCCACAAAATCATAATCATATTATCTCTCTCTCAGGTTACTCTAGGCATTAATATTCCTTCATCATGTGGTGCAGGTCACCATTTCTCTTGCCATTTTCCAATCTCCTCTAAATTCCCTGACTGCCTAGTTCCAAACCTATGCTGCATGTTTCGGGACATTGTTATAATAATCTCCCATTCTGAACAATTTCTAAACAAGTTAATTGTGCCCAATAATGCTATCGAATAGTGCCCACAAATGACCAGTAGCAGACAGGAGGCATTTATCTCATTCAGGAGTTCAGAGTCAGCCCAGGGGGACTTGCAGGTGTCTGGCGCTGTGCCCCCTCCTTTGGGCCCAGAGCACTGCTCAGGTATCTAATGGTGGTGGCATAGTACAAAAAGGTGAGCCGAAGCACATGAGGACTCTACCAGCCAAGGAACAGAAACAGCTCATACTGAACCCCAGATCAATAGATGCATATGCATACTTCCTACAGGATTAGAGCGAGCAGGTATCTGAACAATAACCCAACCTGCCACATCCTCCAAACCAACTTTGACACAGCAGGGCTGTCCCTGGCTGCTGCATTGCTCTGTACCTTTGTGGGCCCTAACCCCCAAAAGCTCATTAATTGCACCCAGTAGCCTGTGATGTGAAAACTCCAGACCTAGGACCTATAATGTGCATCTTTTCCCAACTGTGTGTTTGGAAACTTTACACTGATATGTTCATTGGGTTGTGGGGAGAATTTATGTCATGGAAATTCACAAACGCTCCAAATTGGGGCTTCCTCCACCGGACCTCCAGAGCCATCTGTTAAACATTTGCTAGGGGACCTAACGGCATACACAAGAACTGTGAGTGTGGAAGCCTGGTGTGCCAGAGGTTGTAAACAAGTTTAGTTTTTCACAGGACTCATTGTATGGAAAACGTGTGAGTCCAGACTGTCATGGCCACCTAACATGTCATGTCATTTAGCTTAGTGGCCCTCAAATTTATAAGTCATACAACCTGAATCACCACGTGCATTGAGTCACAGAAAAGGCTGTGAGCAACTTCGGAGCACATTAGAATCTTAGGTCTCAG